AAACTTAAATTAAAAAATATTGTCTTGGCAACTAACTGAAAATGAGTTTAAGTTGAAGTACTAAAATTACTGAATTGAAATAACCATTAAAGCTAAACAGAATAAAATGAAATACTAAATAAAAAAGCTAAACAAAAAATGAATTAAAAAAAAAAAACTTTTTTTATTTTAAACATATCTATTCAAATATTTTTTCTAGTAATTTTGGGGTGAAACATGACTTGGACATGTATTTCTGAGAAACAAATACATTTTATTTAGTCCAACCTGGATGAATGAGAACTGTAAAGTATTGCTGAATTTTACTTGAGTCACGTTGAGTCATGAATTAACATTAAACATAATAATTATCATGATTTTCTTGGCTCTAGTTCCCATGCAAACACAACTTTGAAGCCCAGAAATATATGCATGTGTTCTATAAATGTATAATACAGAAAACAAACTCAGCCTTACTGCATCACCGTGCATTAAATACAAAATCTGATCAATATATGACAGATACCTGCCATGAATATCCATAATGAATTATTCAAACATCCTCCTGATGGACCTGCTGCAGTCATTTATCTCCACATGCAGATTAAGCACAAGTTAACTAGAAGTCCACAGACTGTGTCCAATCATCCGTTACCAGCAGGCCATTCAAACGGGAGGCTAATGCACAGCAAAAAGCTTTTCCCAGCTATTTTCACCAACAAATCTCTGACTTTAAGCCGACAGTTGTTTTAAACCAAAGAGCTGTTTATTCGTACAAATACTGTAACAACTAAGCTGTCTGAAAATAAAGTGTTCTGCAACCCTGGAACGATTTCTGAATGTGTCAGCATAGTGAAAATTATTAAACCATGCAGTACAGAAGACAAAAACATTGCTTACTGTAACATAACACTCCTACACTGAAAACGAAAGACTCAGGAGGAACAGAGCTTATAAAATACACGTATAAGAAGGGATGAGATGGTAGACTAGTTGACTAATCATTCAACAACCAAGTGTTTCAACTCTAAAATTTCCAGAAACAACTTCTCAGACAGTCTAACCATCTCTGAAAAGCTGCATCTTTAAATTCATCCCATTTAAAGCCCCGCTGCTACAGCCATCAAAGTGCTTTTCTAACAAATTTGCAACAATAAATTTCAAGACAATGACTGTCTGACTTGATATTGCCTGCTGTGAGCAACATTTCTGTTTTTATACATAGCTTGTACATCACCATTTTTATGAAGACTATGATGCTCTTGTGAGCTGATAGTTATCTAGTTTATTTACCGTATCCTATTGAAAGGCTGCATTCAATGTATCGCTAAGAAATGAGTTTAATCCCTAAACCAGCCTAGTTATGCAATATTAGACAGTCAGCCATGCAGATAGACATCTTACCCCTAAACACAGACGACTCATTAGGTCCAGAGAAGAGCCCATCCTGACAGTGAAACTCATACAGCGTTTGGTTTTGTCTTCAGCTTTCTGAAGCCTCTCCACATGTCAGGTAGCATTCGAACACCTGAGCCTCTATTACACGGCGCAGGCAGGTAATGAGGGCTCGACTTTCATGCTATTATACATACTACATTAAAGATTCATACAAAACCCTCTGTGTGTATTTTCAAACACGACTTTAAGGGAATTACTTCACCCAAAATGAAAATTCTGTTCTTAGTTACTTTATGTAACGTTTTTGAAGGAAGTCTCTTCTGCTCACCATGGATGCATTTATTCGATCAAAAATACAGTAAAATTGTGAAATATTAATGCAAATTAAAATAACTGTTTTCTATGTGAATATATTTTAAAATGTAATTTATTCCTGTGATCAAAGCTGAATTTTCAGCATCATTACTCCAGTCTTCAGTGTCACATGATCCTTCAGAAATCATTATAATATGCTGATTTGATGCTCAAATATTATAACTTATTATTGTTGCTCAAATATTACAAATGGTTATTATTATTATTATTAATGCTGAAAATAACATTTGTGGAAACCATGATCTTTTTTTTCAGAATTCTCTGATGAATAGAAAGTTCAAAAGAACTGCATTTATTTGAAATAGAAATATTTTGTCAACAAATGTCTTTACTGTCACTTTTGATCAATTTGACAAATAAAAGTTGTTGTTTTTTCTTACTTTTTCACTTACCCTAAATGTATGAAGTAGAGCATCCCAGTTTCCACAAAAACATTAAACAGCAAAAACTGTTTTCAACACTGATAATAATCAGAAATGTTTCTTGAGCAGTAAATCAGCATATTAGAATGATTTCTGAAGGATCATGTGACACTGAAAACTGGAGTAATGATGCTGAAAATTCAGCTTTGATCACAGCAATAAATTACTTTTT